AGCAAGGGCTGATTGTCATGCGATGTGGAGGACCATTTTCATTATTTTGGCAAGAACAGGGACAGTTTTGTCCTGACGAGCTATTAGATGAATAGCAGAATGTGTCACATGAAAAACCACTGATCTTTAACCCAGCTATCTACTTAACCAAGCCTAGAAATGAATAGTGAATGCGGGAAGAGCAAAGACCAGTTTACTGTCATTACAAATTAGAGAAACTGTTAACATCTGCAGCCAAATGAACTCTGGGAATTACAGGTATTATCCAGTAAAGTGGTTGAGGGTACAGAGATTTAGAAGAACGATGCATACAGATATGAGTTCACTACCTGTGTATGTTGTGTGTATCTGTCATTACTATTGAAAATTGGAACATTTGTATAAAAAGACAATAAAGATGGTCTGGATCTTTTCCTAGTACCTTTAATGAATCTAGAAAATGAACACCAAATATAAGGAATTCTCCTTTAAAATAGTCGATTGATATTTATCATTAAGTAGAAATTTAAATACTAAATGAATAGAAATAATAAATCTATGCTCACTGTTTTATCTTTTTTTTTTCCCCAGGAGTCATCTCAGGGACACTGCTGCATGTACAGTTAATATAAACATTTATACTGAACTCCTAGATGTTTGAAAAACAAATACTGTAAAGATCAGTAACATTTTTAAAATGATCAGTTATGGGAATTAATGCTTACAGAAAAACACTATTCTTTCTTGCCCTGCTAGTAGAATCGCATTGTCTCCCTACAGTCTTGTTAGCTCATACTAACTGAAATGCAAATTCTTTCCAACTAATTGGACCTCGTTGAACGTACATGTACAGTACATAGTTATATGCATGTAGATTTTTTTCACTAAATTCCTCTGTAATTATTTTCTTGATTAATATCTAAAGCATAGACGTGGAACAAAAATCTCTTTAAAGAGTTTACATATTATTGAACATTAAGAAGATAGTAACTGTTGCATGTTTTAACAGCTTAATTAATAATACAGAATAATTGGAACAAAAAGAAGAAAATATTTTCTCAATGTTTAGTCATTTTGAACTGTTTGCATTAACCCTTTGACTGAACTAATTAATGCTTAAATTATCAGAGTAATGGAATTTAGGAAAAAAAAAGATATGTTTAAATCATATGGCACATTCAGCTGGCTGGATTTTCTTCTTAGCATCACCTGGGCTTTCTTTAATCACCTTTCCTATCCTTTCTTGCCATATGGTGCACTTATTGGTAGTTTAAAGAGGAATGATGAAATCAACAATGTTATATTTTTAAAAGATTCAGAAAGTCACACATGTAATGTAATTATCTTTGACAGTAAGTAATAAGTATTATTTAAAATTAAAGGAAGAAAAAGTCTCAACATCACATGGAGTTCACAAAGGACATAAAATTCTCAAAAAACACAAGCAGACAACTGCAACTGCACTCTGTTTTAAGTTCCATTAGAGCCTAGATTCTGTAGGCACCTCTTCTGTGAGCATCTGGATATTCCCAGGAGCTGAAAATGTAAAATAATTTCACAGATCCTTTTATCTTTCAGTACAAGTGACATTGGATAGCAGTAAAATACTTGCAGAACATATTCCTGATTAAAAATCTATTGAAAATGAGATTTTTTTTTTAATGCTTTTGAAAGGATTTGTTTTAAATACCTTTGAGCTTTTACCTTGACTAAAATGTTTCAGATTCTTATATGAGTTAGCCAAGAGGAGAGAAACTACTCAGTTTATGCTAAACTTGTATACTACTTGTTAGTTCCTGGGCTTCCCACAGATAATTCAAAGAATATTTCTGCCTCCAAAGGAATTGTAGCAATAAACACAGGGTTATAGATTACAAAGGGAAGTACTAGGTTCTAAGCCTGGATTCTGATTATTACAATTTCGCTGAATCCATGTCAGTTTTGTTTCTTGTTTGTTTGTTTGTTTGTGGGTTTATTTTTGGTTGTTTTTTTTTCCTCCCCCGCCCCCATTGCTGTACAGTTAGATGAGGCTTAATCTGCTATTTTAGGAAGTGGGCTTCTGTTGTATTTTTCCTACAATGATTACTTTTATCTCCTTACTGACTACTACTCTGTTAGAAATTCAGGAAGCATTTATTTTCTTGGTTTTCTATGCTGGCATTATTGTGCCAAACAAGGTGCTGTGGAGACACTGTAAATTTAAGGATCACTTGAGTTGGACTGGAACTGACAGACTAAATTTTGTTTCTTCAATGTCATGTTAGTTTGGGGAGGGGAATAGATCTTTCTTTAAAATGTTCTGAAGGTGTGATATAAAGTCACACATTTGACAATTAAATGATAGTCCTCCTTTGATACAGTGATCTGAATGAGCTTAGATTTCATGTAAGGTTGTAGCATTCTGGCCAAGATTTCTGCTTGGGAAGACCAGATTTGGATGTATTAGCTAGTCAGCCTAATAACCCTGTACAGACTGTATTGATTTTCTAGGAGAGAGTTTATGAACTAAATAAACTTGCAG